GTTCTCTACTTTGTAATTGTGTCACGTAAAACAAGTATAATAATTAGAACCCAAAGGCTTTGCAGAAAGTTCATAAGATTTGTAAACGAATTTATGAAAAATTCTTATGTTTATTTTATTAAGCTCTGTACTTGTAATGGAATTTATGAATAACTAGAACACAATGACACATAAAAGTATTCGTATATATATACTTTTTAAACAAAACTTCTATATATAGTTTGCATTTATATTTTATATATGAAAAGTTAAAATATGAATTTATATTTTTTTTATGAGTCCGAATCAAATAGAAATTTTTGCTAATATCAACTATGTTGGATATAATAGTTTTTTCATTTAGATATTAACCAAATATCCTAAAATTTAAAAATATTCAATCAGTATTCATCTCAAATTTTTAGTTTTAAACTAGATATATGGAGTATTATTTATAGTTTTATAGTAAATCATCATGAAATAATGTCAATATTAATCTTAACCTCTAAAAAAATTCTTTATAAGTTTGATTGGTTTAAACTTTAAACATACTAATGCAAATATTGGTTACAATATTGAATAACTTATTAAAAGATTTATACCATTGTTAGAACTTAAAACGGACGAAAAGATATGTTTACATTATTTACATAATATTTTTGATTGGTAGTGAATATTGAAATAATATATTTATAAATTACCAAAAACATAAATTTTTTTTAAAAAATTATTATAATATAAAATTTCACCCAATAACATAGATTTTATATAAATACTGAAAATGTCATAAAATTATACAACCATTTTTTTCTTAATTTTTGGTTTAAACGTTAAATGACATGCATGCAGATTTTGGACTAGTTTTTAGTTTTTCATTCTAAAAAACCAAAAAATGAACGATTCATAATTTTAGCAAAATAGATTTCCTAAAAATCAGTTTTTAGAAGATTTTACTACTTCATTCATAAAATCCAAAAACCAATTTTTATGGTTTTCTACAAAATATAAGGTGGTTCTTTATTTATTTATTTTACATATTTTTTTTCAAAATTGTTCAAAAACTAAAATCTACAGCAAAAATCAAAAAACAAAAAAAAAAACTAAAAACCAAAAAATAAAAGCTAAAATCCATTTTAAAACTACAAAACATTCATGCCTTTAATTTATTTTCAAACTTTTTATTTGAAAGAATAATAGGAAAAAGAATAAACGACAAATGTTAAATTGGAAAAAAGAGGAAAAAAAAAAAAAAAAGAATCGAATTCTCGAGGTGCTCGTGCTTGTCACCAAAACCATTTTAAAGAACCCAACTTACTTACCTTTCCCCAAATACGCTTTTTCGACTAACCTCCCCAAAGGTAAGCAAAATGACCATTATACCCTCATCACCTTCATCTTCCTCGACATGTCACTGCCTCCAACCCCACCGAGAACGCCAGCTCCGTCAAATATTTACCAAACTCTCTCTCTCTCTCTTTCTCCTCTCTCCTCAAAAACTCAAAACCCATTAGCCATTACAGATAACCCAACGAGATTACCTGTGAAAGTCTTCGTCTTTCCCATCCTTTTCCTTATGGTATCTTCCCAAATCTCTCACTTTCTGAATATGGTTCTGCTTTAAAACCCACCTTGAGAAGAAGAAGAAGAAAGAAGAAAGGAGAAGACTTTATCAATCAAAATGGTAGAAGAAACGAGTGAAGAATCAAAAGCAAGCATAGAGAAAGCAATCGAAGCAATATCTTCATTGATTTCACTCTCTCACTCAATCAAATCCTTCAACATCAAATGGCAACTCATAAGAACCAAGCTCGAAGAGCTTTACTCTGGTCTCGCTGCTTTAGAGAATCTCAATTCCGGATTCGACCCATCTCTCTCCAGCTTAATCTCAGCCATTCTAATCTCTCTCAAAGACACTTACGATCTCGCTACTCGTTGCGTGAACGTTTCCTACAGTGGGAAGCTTCTGATGCAGAGTGATTTAGATGTTGTGGCTGGGAAGTTTGATCGACATACGAGGAATCTTTCTCGGATTTACTCTGCTGGGATTCTAAGTCATGGGTTCGCGATCGTTGTCTCGAAGCCTAATGGTAATGCTTGTAAAGATGATATGAGGTTTTACATTAGGGATTTGTTGACGAGGATGAAGATTGGGGATCTGGAGATGAAGAAGCAAGCTTTGGTTAAGCTTAATGAAGCTATGGGGGAAGATGACAGATATGTTAAGATTGTGACTGAGATTAGTGATATGGTTAATATCCTTGTTGCGTTTCTTGATTCTGAGATGGGGATTCAAGAAGAATCTGCGAAAGCTGTGTTTTTTATTTCTGGGTTTGGTTCTTACAGAGGTGTTTTGATCAGATCGGGTGTGATTGGTCCTTTGGTTTGGGTTCTTGAGAATGGGAATGGTGTTGCTAGAGAAGCGTCTGCCAGGTGTTTGATGAAATTAACGGAGAATTCAGAGAATGCTTGGTCTGTCTCTGCTCATGGAGGTGTCTCAGCATTGCTAAAGATATGTTCTTGCAGTGAATTTGGGGGTGAACTGATCGGTACTTCGTGTGGAGTGTTGAGAAATCTCGTTGGTGTTGAAGAGATTAAGAGGTATATGACTGAAGAAGATGATACCGTAGCCACTTTCATCAAGCTTATTGGATCCAAGGAAGAGATCGTTCAGGTAAATTCCATTGATCTTTTGTTAAGCATGTGTCGTAAAGACGAACAAACCCGTGATATCTTGGTTAGAGAAGGAGGAATCCAGGAGCTAGTGAGTGTATTATCAGATCCAAATTCGTTGTCTTCTTCGAAATCTAAGGAGATGGCATTAAGGGCGATTGATAACTTATGTTTTGGATCTGCTGGTTGTTTGAATGCATTGATGAGTTGCAAATTCTTGGATCATTTGCTGAATCTGCTAAGAAACGGGGAGATTTCTGTTCAAGAATCAGCCTTAAAGGTCACATCTAGGCTATGTAGTTTGCAAGAAGAGGTTAAGAGGATAATGGGAGACGCTGGTTTTATGCCCGAGCTAGTTAAATTTCTTGACGCCAAATCTTTAGATGTAAGAGAAATGGCGAGCGTGGCGCTCTACTGTTTGATCTCGGTTCCAAAGAACAGGAAGAAGTTTGCACAAGACGACTTTAACATTAGTCACATTCTCCAGTTACTTGACCATGAAGATGGGAGCAATGTGAGCAGCGATTCGGGTAACACAAAGTTTTTGATATCGATATTGATGTCTTTAACGAGCTGTAATAGCGCGAGAAGAAAGATTGCGACTTCAGGGTATTTGAAAAGCATTGAGAAGCTAGCAGAAACCGAAGGTTCAGATGCTAAGAAACTTGTGAAGAAGCTATCTATGAACAGATTCCGCAGCATACTCAGTGGCATTTGGCATACCTAATCTTATTTTATTTTCTTTCTTATAGTTTTTTTTTTCTTTTTGTGAATTTTGCTTGAGTGTATATTTCTTACAAAGGTGTTTTTGTTAGTTCTCTTCCCACTAATCCCAATTCCAATCCCATGTGACCTCCAAATTCAACTACAAGAATATTAATATAGCTTTAGAACATTTTCTTTTTCTTTATATTATTCTCTCTTTTAATTTAGTGAAATGCATACAAAAAGAGGTATTTTTTCTTTCAGTGGGTATCTCAAAATAAAGGTTTCCTTTTTTTTGAAGTCTTTAGTATAGACTAAAGAGATTCTTCTTAGAAGCTGCAATGTGTACTCTTTTAGGATACATTTATCAATCAAATTGCTATAAACATAACTTATTTATGGAGTTCAATGATTAAATCAAACATTGATCCTTTTACAGCTTTTTGTCTAAAATATAACATTCTAGATCAAAGTCAATCTATAATGGAAAAAAATTCTAAATAAGACATACATTAAGATCCAAAGATTAAGGATTTTGATTAGAAATATTGAAACTAAATATGGGAATTGTTTTTGTATAAATGCATGTAGTCTTGGAAGTATATGGGAAAATGGGGAAGCACATGGAATCAAGTGATAAAGAAGCATGTGAGGTTGTGTAGAGAGATAGAGTGATCTCTTCCATCTACCACAATTCAATTATATGGAGAGAGATAAATGAGAGTGATGGATCAAATGACAATTTAATACATTGTGTCTTGTTGTTACTCTCAAACTTATAGTGTTTGTGAGTAAGATTTTGAGGGGGACATGTGCGTCTGGTGAGAAACAAATATGCTTGTGCTAACTCTAGTTTTGGCTAAGGACAGCTTGGTAACTCCTAGAAAACGATTGGTCCCAAGTGTATAGAGGTGGCTAATTCGATTTCCGGTTCGGTTTGTTAGGATTTTGTTGTTTGCTCAGTTTGAAGAAAGTATGAATTGAGTCATTGACGTTGGAATTGAAGTTCTTCAGTTTGGTTTGGAAATTAATTTACTTTGATTCTTTTGGGGATATAATCAAACTGGTTTATCATTTTCTTGCACTTATGGTTGCTTAATTTGGTTATGTTGGTTTTAGTTTGCTTGGTTTAATGAGTTTAAGGTTAGAGCCAACAATTTTTTTGAATCCATGCAAATTTACGACCCTTAGATTTAGTTATAAAAAATTGTCTGAAACTGTACTAATTAAACCTCTCATAATTGAAATATCCTAACAAAAAAAAAAACTTAAAACACACCAGGTTTCACCCATCTAAAGCTCTCTTACATAGACGACAATAGACAATAGGGACAAAGGCTCTTTGGATGTACGAATTTTGACAAGAAATTTCTTCTGCTTTTTGTGCAGCCAATCATAATTGACAACTTATCCTATTGTCGTCAATTCTGTTAGAGGAAGTAGACAAATCCATGGACCAGTTTCCTCGTGTGTGTGTCTTTGGTCAAGACTCAAGACCTTCTCTTCTACTTGGAGTCTCTAAATCTTCTAAAACACAGAGTTTTGTGTTTGTTGATAGTATGGCCAATTTTTCATCTTTTCATATGTCAAACTAACACTTAATAACAATTGTATATAGATAGAGCAACACTTTTTCATTTTTCGTTTACCAAAAACATCTTTTTGTCATTTCTTGTAATATTTTACAAATGAATCGAATAATTTATGTCCGTTTTATGCGTATACAATGTAGTTTGTGGCCTAAAAATTAGATCATTATAGATCGTTGAGACAAAGAAGAATCCTCATCGCTTATGTACGTTACAATCATTGGTTCTGTTGGCTTAGGAAGATCCGTTGTTGAAGTCAGCATTAATGACATTACTTGTTTGATGTTTGGTCTATCAATAGCTTGATGCTGAACACATAGCAGACCATTATGAACACATCTTCCTGTTTCAGCTGAATAAACTGAATCAGAAGCAGCATGATCTTCATCCAGTAGGTTCACTCCCCGGTTTCACTCCAAGAGTCCCATGCCTGTTACAACAAATCCGCGAAAAACGTAAGAGTTAAGAATAAATCTATGACCCATGCAAGTGTTTAAGATAGATATGTTCTATGAAAGAAGGTTTTAGCTATCTTTGCCATAGCGGAAGCTCGAAATCTCCTTCCCGGTGATGATTTCTAGCATTAGAACTACGAAGCTGTATATATCGGATTTCTCAGAAAATTTCCCGGTCCAAGCATACTCGGGAGACAGGTACCCTCTGTTCATATCATACAATAGTTAGTCAAGTTGAGTATAAAGAAATATGAAAGACTTTTGATTGAGCATATCATAAGAATGGTACTGGTTACTTACATAGCGCCTACGACACTGCCAGTGCTGACTTGATGTTGACTTCCATGAGACATCCGAGCTAATCCAAAATCTGATATTTTTGGGTTCATATTCTCATCCAAAAGAATATTGCTGACCTTCAGATCCTGGTGTACAACTCTGAGGAACGAGTCACGGTGGAGATAGAGAAGTCCACGAGCAATTCCTTGTATGATATTGAATTTCGTAGGCCAATCAATCTCAAGTTTTTGTCTTCAAATCTGTTGGCAAATAGTACAACACACAGAGTATGGCTGACACTGATCAGCAGCATTAGGAACTCCATGTCTTCATGGGAGGAGAAAAGCAAGAAGGGACTTACAGAGTATAAATATATCAAGGCTTTTGTTCACCATGTATTCATAGACCAATAGCTTTTCTTTCCCATCGATGCAGCATCCCAAAAGCCGAAGCATCTCTTTCATGAACTCATCTGTTCCCTGTACAGAGCTGCTAGAAAGACGTTTTACAGCTATTTCCTTTCCTTCCTGAAGCTTCCCCTGAAGTCATCATAGTTGCAGACAGTCATATAAGGAACAAGAAATATCAGAATGGCAAAGAGAAAATAGAATGAATTATATCTCTTACCTTATAAACTGTACCAAAACCACCCTGAGCGAGTCTATTTAACACACCAAAATTATTCGTGGCGGTTTGTAGGTCCTGAATTTCAAAGAAATTTAAACCTGAGACATCTTGTGATTGCAAATCACTCGTCCAAGCGCCTTCTACATTAACTTTAGCTCCAAGACTTGAACCTACGAGTTACAAGTATCCATGTATTAGTATAAATTGTCTAAAAGTTGATGCATTGAGTAAGCTTTGATAGACATCTCATAGCTAAACGGAAACAAGCTATTCCCAAGTAAATATGGAACCATAAGAGGATAATATGTAGAAACATAAAGAGGTAAATACATCAAAGAGATATCAGCGATTTGGCTCTCACCATTTTGTTTTAATCTGTATCTCCAACAACCCTATGCAACAAGCACCAAAATCAAGCAAACAGAGAGGCTGAGAATGCTGATAGTGATAATCTTTATTCGCTTGCTGCCAGCTGAATAGGACAGAAAAAAACTAAACTGTAAACCAGGTTGATACCCAAAAAGAACGTTGTAAACAAAGTTAAGTATCTTATGATGTAACTAAAAGAAAAGCTCTTTATAATTGCTTACTCAATTCAGAATGTGCAAGACGAATGGAAAGAGAATGGAAAGTTACTGATTCGTTTTCAGCAGATAACTTTGAATATTCCAATCTCTGACCCTTAACCATAACTAAAGTCAACAACTTTCTCTGTAACCAGTACCCCATCACAAAAAAAACAACACAAGGACTTTCCAATTGATTGGCAAAATTATTGCCCTGATATGAAATCTAAAGCAACAAACTTTGGATGATAAAGAGCCACAAACTAACTTAGGACAAGCTTACCAGAAGAGTTGCAAATGTTCGCTATTTAGTGAAGGTATGACTTTTCATCGGTGGCTTCAACTATTGGTCCCACTGCCGACTTTGAGACTTAAAAATCTCGTTCACGCATTTTACCGAATACATGCAGTGCACAACCCAGAAGCTCCAAAAGTTCAAAATAGTAACTTTAAAGAAAGAGACAGCTACCCACAAAAGTATGTTGAACTAGTCCATCTGGGTATCGACGCTTGTAACCAAAGTCGACGACTTTAATCGAACTGAGCATAAAAAATAAAAATTGCAGAGAACGCAAGAGAAAGAAGTGACGCTGACACAATCAAGTCACAAATCACAATGCCTCAAAAATAATAATGCTATTTTAGCAGTGCAACGGTTAATAACAATATTTTAATGAATACTAATGAGTAACGACCTGTCTCGTGTAAATGAAAATATTTGGGGCTTTACGACAATAATATGAGATATGATATCAAAAAACTTGACCTTTTTAAATGTTCATGAATTTACAAGTATAAGCTACTTATGTAGCTAGTGAGATAACAAGACCTTAGGCTTATCGTCCTTGGATCATAGATTGTGTAATCTCATTTACAGAGAAAAAATCATGAGATTTAGCCTGTAACATTGGCACATCGTTTAGAGTATGCACTGCAAATATAGGCTGCTTTGGTATGGGAAGATCTATTGTAGAAGTAATCATGGATAGTACTTGAAGGGTGTTGGGTCTGTCAGCGGCTTCGTGTTGAACACAGAGCAGACCTATCTGAACACATCTCGCAACTTCAAATGCTTGGCATGTATCAGTAAGATCTCTGTCCAGAAGATTTGATCCCCCGGTTTCAAGCCAAGCATCCCATGTCTGAATAGAAGAAAAAGAAATGTTAGGCGGTAGCAAAATGTCAAAGTTTGATGGTAATCACTAATCAATAGATGTGTCACTTACATATGCAAGAAGGCCTTTGCTCTCATCACCATATATGAAACGTGAAATTTTTTTCCCACTGATGATTTCTAACAACAGAACTCCGAAACTATAGATGTCGGACTTTTCAGAGAACAACCCTGCCCACGCATACTCAGGAGACATATATCCTCTGTTCAAATATCAAAAAGATTGTACAAAGTTAATATATACGTATAACTAGGAATCTGTGTTAAGCATGTAAGCGAAGATCGATTCTTACAGAGTCCCTACAACTCTGCGAGTGTTGTCTTGATATTGGGTTCCCTGAAACATCCGAGCGAGTCCAAAATCCGATATTTTCGGGTTCATTTTTTCGTCAAGAAGAATATTGCTGACCTTCAGGTCACGATGAATAACCCTGAGGCGTGAGTCACGGTGGAGATAGAGGAGTCCACGAGCAATACCTTGAATGATATTAAATCTCTTTGGCCAATCAAGCTCGAACTTAAGAGATGAATCTAGCCAAAAAGATATGAAAGATTAGTTACAGTGACACTTTATAAAAAAAATCTCTGAAGATTGAAGGAAAGGGATAGAGGAAGAAGTATGGAGAAAGACAAACCAAATAGAAAAATATCGAGGCTTTTGTTCACCATGAACTCATAAATCAATAGCTTCTCTTCTTCTCCTTCGATGCAGTATCCCAGAAGCCGAACCAAGTTTCTATGTTGTAATTTTGAGATCAGTGTTATTTCATTCATGAACTCCTCTGTACCTTGACCGGAGCTACTAGCAAGGCGCTTAACAGCTATATTCCTCCCATCTACCAACTTTCCCTGCAAGAGAAGTTGCAGATAGTTATCTAGAGAACCAAAAAAAGAAAATGAATTTATTTGAGGAACTAAAACAGAATTTCACATACCTTGTAAACTGGACCAAATCCACCTTGACCAAGTTTATTTGAGGAACTGAAGTTATTGGTGGCAGTTCGTATTGTATGCATCTCAAAGAATAGGACGCCTGAGATATCCTGTGGTTCAAAACCATTCCTCCATGCATCTTGTAAAGTATCAAAGACAACAGAAATTAGTTCTACAAGTAACACATATGTATATATTAGTACTTGAGTAGCAAAGGCTGAACTTCCAATAAAGTGAGAAGATTAGCCATTAGGAAGACGTGAAAATTTATTTACTAGTTAAGGTATAACTGATTGAGAGGGAAATATTTTTAGTGGTTCACTCTTGCTACGGTTTGGTTACTAAGATAGATGAAAAATAGGGACAAGAAAAGTGAGTAACAGAGAGAGGTGTCTCACCATTTTGTTTCGCTCTGTATCTCCACAACAGAAATGCGGCAATCACCAAGATCACGAAAATGGAAAGGCTGACAGTAGTACCTACAATAATCTTCCTTCGACTGCTTCCAGCTGAGATATTACCAAAAAAATAAAAACATAAGCCATGCTGCTACAGGACATTATAAAGAAAGTTGAAGTTTTAAATCTACCAAGAAAATTATATTCTCAGAAGAACATTGATTTATCCTTACCCAATTCTGAACTTGCAAGACGAATGTAGAGAGTTTCTCCACTACTCAAAAACTGAACTGTATCTACAAGCTCCCCATTCCATACCAAGCATCCAATTCCACTAATATAGGCAAAGGCTGTGCAAGAACAGTTGCCTAGACAACCCTGGGAGCACTGTTCTGCATTCAGAAAGCTTGCAAATTGGTGCAGATCCGGAGTTTTTACATCGGTCATACGATAGAAGATATCTGTGTCTTTTCCTTGTGTTTTCAGAGAAGAGTTTGCCTGGCAAGACAATAGAGTACGTCTAACACACCCACTTGTCCAGTTTCCTTTTCCCCACTCCTCATCAGACTTTGGTACAAACCCTTTCAAGCACTCACACTTTGGGGGATTAGATCTCACACACAAACCATAAGGCCCACATCTACCATATACATCACATGGGTTTTCTGGGAGAGATAAGTGAAGCTTCCAATTTTTTCCATCATCCCAGAGGATCTTCATATGCCCATCTGGTGTTAGAGTAACATATGACAGATTATAGTTTCTTAATGTGGAATAAGAAAAAGATCCTGTGCCAGCTCCTATATCCTGGACAACACTGAATGGACTTACATACGATGCATCAATTCCAGATATCCCAGAGAATCTTGTTCTTGCCCACGGACCACATCTCCAGTAAGGTACTGAGCCTCTTCTTATAAGGCCTTGTGTAGGGATTTGTGGTGTAATCTCCAGTGTGAACTCCCCAGGAGACGGATCACTGTAACTTTTCCATGTAGTCAACACACGCTTCTTGCCATTAGAAGTATCATACATCAACGATGATTGCGGCAGCATAGTATTACCAAGATTCTCGAAACTTTGCCATAATTTTTCACCTGAAACATCATCAATTACAACAAAATTCCCGGTGTCTAACAGCTCAGCATGACACTTGTTGGATGTGAAAGCCTTTCCTGTTGACCAAATAACATCTTCTTTCCCCTCAAGCAAGATCAGGCTCCCATTGATGCTGAGAGTGAGATTTGCTGCAGAGCTTGTAACTGGCGTATCTCTGTTAGCCACCCACACAACAACCCGAGGAACAATCTTCTTAAACCAGATCCCAACATACTGATTCCGAGTATTATTAGGACTGAAGAAGCCAAGCTCATAAAATCCACTAGGGGAACTCAAAGTTTGTCCTATTGACAAAGGACTTCTTTTGTTTATAGCTGCATAACCACAAGTTGGGAATATGATTAGTAAAAGCAAACAAGCAAATAAAACCATACCCATCTCATGTATATTCCTCTCCCTCTACAAAAATCTCTCCTAGAAACTTCAACATGAGCAAAACTTCATGTGGATAAACTCAGCAATGAGAGAAACTAAGTGGAAAAAATTAAATAAACCACTTAGGATGTTCAGACTGCTTCTTTGAATATAACAAGCTCTAAAATAGACCGTTGACCCAACTTACCAGCAAGAAAACAAAAAAAGAAGAATTGATGGGACAAAGAATCTCCCATCTTACTGTCCACATAAAATACCGTGTTAGTACCTATAACTCATAAACTCACAAGTCATAAGTCAACCTTTCTACAAAGTAACGAAGTTGAGAACTTTTTGCATTCTTCGAGAAGGACAAATACAGACAACGTGCAAGTTGATGAGCTAAGATCTAAAAACGAAAGAGAATATGATGACCTGTTTGTTTGAAAAGTCAACGAAACTTTAAATATCTCGTTCAGGCATTTCATCGAACAGTTGCTGCGCATACTCCAAAAACGTTAAAAAGCACGCCTTTTGAAGCTTCGTTAGTTAGTCTGAGTAAACTCCTGATCGAAACAGATACTATACTTCTAACCATAATCATCATCGTCGACTTCAACGTTAAAATATTATTTCTTTTGGGTCAAAAGGAAAAGAAAGGAAGAATTTTTAAAATACTTTAATTTGAAGAAATGAAAAAAACAAAATTGAAAAGTTGATAACTTCATTTTAATGGAGAAACAAACCACACTTTGAATTCCACAAATTTTTCCATCACTCGTAGTTTCTTTTTAACGCCCATGGATCACAGATTGTGTAATCCCGTTGATGGTGATCAAATCGTTAGACGTAGATTCGTCATCTCGAGTGTGCACTGCAAACGTGGGTTGTTTTGGTACTGGGAGATCTGATGTTGTGGTGAGCATAGACATTAACTCAAGTGTGTTGGGTCTGTCTGAAGTTTGGTGTTGTACACAGAGCAAACCAATCTGCACACATCTCCCAACTTCAGCTGGTTGAGAAGAATCAGCAAGGGCTGGATCAAGAAGATCAACTCCTTTAGTTTCACACCAAGATTCCCATGCCTGTTGTTTGGTTTCATTTTTCATATCTTAAGAGTATCAGAGCAAGAACAACTTTTAAAATCCTCTGTAAATGTATGAAAATTTGAAGAATGAACTTACATATGCAAGAAGAGTTTTTCCCTCTTCACTGAATCTTGAGATCTTCTCTCCAATAATGATTTCTAACAGTAGAACTCCGAAACTATAGATATCTGATTTCTCAGAGAACACCCCAGTCCATGCATACTCAGGAGCCATGTATCCTCTGTGGAAACATCAAGAATGGTTCTTAGAGAGTTTCACATATATGATTATCATGACTATGAATCTTGTTAAGAATGTTTTGGAAGAATGGTACTTACAGAGTTCCTACAACCCTGCGAGTGTTGTCCTGACATTGGGTTCCCTGAAACATCCGGGCCAATCCGAAATCTGATATTTTTGGGATCATTTTCTCATCCAGAAGAATGTTGCTGACCTTCAGGTCTCGATGAATTACCCTGAGGCGTGAGTCACGGTGGAGATAGAGAAGTCCACGCGCAATACCTTGAATGATGTTGAACCTCTTTGGCCAATCAATTTCAAACTTTAGAGTAGAATCTAGCCAATAAGATAGAACAGATTAGTGATAGTAGTGACAATGCCATATTGTATAATTCTGATATGATGGAAGAACCAAGAGGTTAATGGAATAGAGGACTGACCAAAGAGGAAAACGTCTAGGCTTTTGTTCACCAAAAACTCATAAATCAATAGTTTCTCTTCTCCTTTGATGCAGCATCCCAAAAGCCGAACCAAGTTTTTATGTTGCAGTTTGGAGATTAGTCTTATTTCATTCATGAACTCGTCTGTACCCTGTCCAGAGCTGCTAGAAAGGCGTTTAACAGCTATTTCCTTTCCGTCTACTAACTTTCCCTAGAAGAATAGTTGCACATAGTCATCTACAGAAGAAGAAAATACAGAATAGAGGAAAAAGAAGAAGTAAATAGAGCAGAATGATGCATACCTTATATACTGGACCAAATCCACCTTGACCAAGTTTATTTGAGGAATTGAAGTTATCAGTAGCAGTACGTATGGTATTCATCGCAAAGAAATTTACGCCTGAGACATCCTGTGGTTCCATATCCTTCTTCCAAGCATCTTGTGAAGCGTTGATGAACATATGATTTGGTTCTATGAGTAACAAGTGTGCATGTATTAGTGTTTAATTTGTAGCAGTTTAGCATCCAAGTATTGACTTTCAATAGAACTGAACATATTAACCCTTAGGACACTAACATCACAAAAGAACTGTATACCTGATATTGTCCCTAGGACACAACTTTAGAATTCTAGAAATTATGTATATTGGATGAAGAAAGAGATTCATTTCCTTCGGATTTGGTAACAGAGTTAGATGAAAAAATGGACAAGAAAAGAGAGTGAGAGAGAGATCAAAATTCTTGTATCTCACCATTTCGTTTTGTTCTGTATCTCCATAACTTATATGCAGCAACCACCAAGATCACAAAAATGGAGAGGCTCGCAGTAGTACCTACAATAATCTTTGTTCGACCGCTTCCAGCTATATAATCACCAAAAAACAAAATCTGTAAGCCATGATGCTCCGAAAAAAAACATCACATATAGAGAATGTTGAAACTTCAAATATACTAAGTGAACATATACAAAATGCATTTCATTCTTACCCAATTCCGAACTTGCAAGACGAAGGGAGAGAGATTCCCCATCAGATAAAAATTGAACTGTGTCCACTAGCTCTCGGTTCCATACCAAGCATCCAATTCCAGTAACATAAGCAAAGGCTGTGCAGGAACAGTTGCCTAGACAATCTTGGTGGCACTGTTCTGCACTGAGAAAGCCTGCAAATTGGTACAGATCTGGAGTCTTTACATTGGACATACGGTAGAAGCCATCTGTCTCTTTGCCTTGTGTTTTTGTAGAAGTATTTGTATGGCAAGATAATTGTGTACGTCTCACACACCCACTTGTCCAATTCCCTTTTTTCCACTCGTCAGCTGACTTTGGTACAAACCCTTTCAAGCATATACACTTTGGGTTACTGGATCTCACACACAAACCGAAAGGCCCGCAAGCGCGATACAGATCACATGAACTTGTTGGAGCCTCAAAGTGAAGCATCCAATGTTTCCCATCATTCCATTGGATCTTCATTCTTCCCTCTGATGTAAGTGTCACATACGATAATTTATAATTTCGTAACATGGAATAAGAAAAAGATGCTGTGCCCTTTGCTACATCTTGGACAACAGTGAATGGACTTACATATGATGCATCAATTCCAGGTATCCCAGAGAATCTTGTTTTTGCCCATGGACCACTTCTCCAGTAGTACGCTGAGCCTCTCCTTATAAGGCCTTGTGGGGGGACTTGAGGCGTAAACTCCAGTGTGAATTCCCCAGGCGATGGATCACTGTTACTTCTCCATGAGGTCAACACACGGTTCTTTCCTCGGGGAATATCATAAGACACCGAAGACTGAGGCAACATAGTATTACCAAGATTCTCGAAGCTTTTCCATAAAGTCTTTCCGGAAACATCATCAACTACAACAAGATTTCCGGTGTCTAAAAGCTCTGCATGGCACTTGTTGGATGTGAAAGCCTCTCCTGCTGACCAAATAACATCTTGTTTACCATCAAGCAAGATCAGACTCCCGTTGCTGCTGATAGTTAGATTCGCCGCAGTTTTTGTGACCGGCTTATCCCTATTAGCCACCCAGACAACCACCTGAGGAGTAATGTTCTTGAACCAGATCCCAACATACTGATCCCTAGTATTATTAGGACTGAAGAAGCCTAACTCATAAACTCCATCAGGAGAGCTCAGAGTTTGTCCTATTGACAAAGGACTTGATGTGCTTATATCTGCATTGCCAAAAGTTGGGAATATAATCAGCAAGAGCAAGCAAGCATATAAAACCATACCCATCTTTCCCATGTTTACACCTATTTGTCTGAGCAATTTCTTGTGAAAGTCTGAACATATGAGGAAAACTATACATAGATGATGAACAGCCACCAGACCAAAGGAATAAAGACTTTCTTGTTATCCTCTATACCTTAAACATTGCACGAATTGATTATATTTTCTTTTGTCAAACAGAATAATTATAGTTATTATAATCTAAAACATAAACATTAAGATAATCTGTAATGACAGCCTTGACCAAGACGTACCATGTTACTCATCATTAAAAGATAGAAGAATCTAGTGGATGAGTTCTTATATTTTCCTTGTTTGGTCTTCTCATAAGTCAAACCTACACAGCTATTACACATTTGCAGCTTTTTTGTCATTTTTCCAAAAGACAACAATACAGATTTAGAAATTGCTTTTAAAAGTTATATAGCTTTATGCTGGATATTAAGGACAAATCGCAAACTGCAAAGTGAAGATTTAAAGACATAGACAGAAACTCACCTTAAACACTTCTATTTTGTAATTTTGTATTTCGTTCAGGCATTTCATCAAACACTTGGAGCGCGTAATTGGAACGTTCCAAGAAAGTACCACGCAGAGGTTCGCTACTGTCGCCATTTCTGAAGTTTCGATCTGGGTTTTAAACATCGCCAGAAAAAATGCTAACTTTACCCCTTTAACTGAAACAAAACACCAATACAGCTAAGTAGATGCATTGCTAATTCTTAAACTCCGGCCAAGGAGCTCAGAGTTTGTCTTATTGAAAAAGGAATTGATGTGTTTATATCTACAATACAACAAGTTGGCAATATGATTAGCAGGAGTACTTACTTGATTATATTAAGCATTGAGATTAGTGTTATCCTCTAATCTATATATTAAGCATTTCACAGTACTTGATTATTTTATAGCCGACGACAATAATTATAACTATAATCTAAAAATAAGCAGTAAAGTAAACCTTACTTGACCAAGAAGTTTCTTATGTGTACTCGTATTTGTCTACACAAATTTAAAGGAGTGTTATATATTAAGCATTACACTGATTGATTATGTTTTTATTAATAGCCGACGACAGTAATTATAAAGTATAAACACAACATCTTGAACAGGAAATTTCCATGTTACTCTTCATCGAATAACATGGAAATAACTAGTAGATATGTTTCTTTCCTCGTTTGGGTCTTTTGCTAAGTCAACCAACATAGAGTTTGCATCTGTTGCATTTTCCAAGAGACAATACAGATATATAAATTGCTTTCAATACAGATAGACAACGTGAAGGTCCAACAACCTATAGAAGAAGCTCACCTGAAACACTGCACGGGATTTAAACATCAGCCCCAACCACAAAGCACGGGGCTAGCTTTCGAAATTTTGTATTTCGTTCAGGCAGTTCTTCAAACATGGTAGTAATCTGATTATCTGAAGACAGAACTCACTATTGAGATTTGAGATTACAGACGTACTAATTTGTACATTTGTTATAGGCCTTAGTAACCTCTAAATGTATCTGAACTCCTAGTTTCTAAACCTTCAACATTTGTTTGGTTAGGCATTTGATCGAGTTAGGAAATGACGAACTCTTTGAACACGCCTTTTTGCAAATAATGTATATATAACTTTGGATGTAATTTTATCTGTTTCCATAATAAAATAATCAACGAAGTTGAGTTAAAGTTATCAACATTTGAGAATAATCCCAATTCTACAGTTCCATTACATGGTTGCTCAACGTCCTTGGATAACAGACTCTGTCACCTCATTGACAGTGATCATCGAATCATTAGACGGTGATTCGTCATCTCTAGTCAGCACTGCGAATGTGGGTTGTTTAGGCAGAGGAAGATCTGATGTTGTGGTGAGCATAGACAACAACTCAAGGGTGTTGGGTCTGTCTGCAGGTTGGTGTTGGACACAGAGCAAACCAATTTGGACACACCGACCAACTTCAGATGGGTGCCAAGAATCAGCAAGAGCTTTGTCCAATAGATTAACTCCACGGGTTTCACACCAAGATTCCCATACCTGTGTTTGTTTCAGATCTTAAGAAAACAGAGCAATAAACGTTTTGTAACCTCTGCAAGTGCATGAAAACATCAAGTCTGACTTACATATGCAAGAAGTGCTTTTCCTTCCACGCCATAGCTGAACCTCGAGATCTTCTCTCCGCTGATGATTTCTAACAGTAGAACTCCGAAGCTGTAGATGTCTGTTTTCTCAGAGAATACTCCAGTCCATGCATACTCAGGAGACATATATCCTCTGTTCAAAAATCAAATAGTTTCACCCACATTAATATATGAACATCATGACTATCAATCTAGTTTAATATGTCATGAAAGGATGTTTCTTACAGAGTTCCAACAACCCTGCGAGTTTTGTCCTGATATTGGGTTCCCTGAAACATCCGAGCCAACCCAAAATCTGATATTTTCGGGTTCATTTTCTCGTCCAGAAGAATGTTGCTGACCTTCAGGTCTCGGTGAATTACTTTGAGGCGTGAATCACGGTGGAGATAGAGAAGTCCACGCGCAATACCTTGAATGATATCGAATCTCTTTGGCCAATCTAACTCAAGCCTATTTCTTGAATCTAAGTGATAATGCAATCCAAAAACTATTAGCTAAGCAGTTCGACAAATAGAAAGGGAAGCTACAGGGTATAGGTAAAATGTGACCCACCAAAGACAAAAGTATCAAGGCTTTTGTTTTTCATAAACTCGTAAATTAATAGCTTCTCTTTTCCGTCAACGCAGCATCCCAAAACGCGGACTAAATTTCTGTGTTGGAGTTTTGATATCAGTACTATTTCATTCATGAACTCCTGTTTTCCCTGCTCAGAGCTGCTAGAAAGGCGTTTTACCGCAATTTCTCTTCCATCTTGCAGTTTTCCCTGAAACAAGTTGATCTTTAGGAAAGACAGAGAATAAAATAGCAAAATGTATAAAAAGTTTCTTACCTTGTAAACGGAACCAAATCCACCATGTCCGAGTTTGTTTGATAGATCGAAATTATTGGTAGCAGTTTGTATGGTATTCATCTCAAAAAATTCTAAACCTGGGACATCTTGTGATTTTAGGTCATCTCTCCATGCATCTTTTGACATTTGAGCTGAAATTTGGGTTAAGAATTTGAGCATATTAAGTATTTTTAAAGAAACCGTAACCAATGTAACAAAAGAACATATATGAATCCGTCATATTAAGAGTTTTACCCCTTTTTATTTAAGGTTAATGACAATCAAATGAATACAGGAGCAATAAGAGATTGTTCATTAGTATAGCCATCAATGTGTTACCTGCTCTGGATCTCCAAAAACCAAACGCAGCAAAGCCCAAGATCACAAATAGGATGAGGCTCACTGTAATAGCAACAATGGACTTCGTGCCATTATTTATATCTGCGGAATTTAGGACAAGAATCAAACAATAAGTCATGCTTCTACCGAAACATCAACAACAGTGAGGTAGAAGATAGAACTGGAAAAGAAGAGAGTTTTTAAACTATCATACCTAGCTCAGAACGTGCAAGACGAATGGAAATAACTTCTCCTCCAGCAGAAAATTGCACTGTGTCCATTAGGTCCTTGCTCCACATTAAGCACCCTATTCCAGGAGTTCGCAAAGGCCACACAAGAACAATTGTGGAGGCAATTCTGATAACATTCTTCAGCATCCACAGAATTTGCATATTCGTAAAAGTCTGGAGGCTTTACGTTGGGAACAGTATGGAAGACATTTGCATCTTTGCCAGTAGAATTTCCTTGACAATGTAGTTCGGAACGCCTCACACAACCACTAGTCCAGTTTCCTCTTTTCCACTCCTCAATGGATTTAGGAACGAAACCTTTGAAGCATTTACACTTTGGAGGTACTGATACAACACATAACCCAAAAGGTCCACACGCACCGTAAATATCACATGAATTAACTGGACCCTCGTAGCTTGATTCCCAGTCAATTCCATTATGCCGTAACACCTTCATTGATCCCTCTGATGTTAAAACTATACGTGAAAGTTTGTAGTATCTTTCAAAATATGAAAAGTATCCTGACCCATTTACATCCTGGGTTATGCTGAATGGACTTGTGTATGAATCATCCATTTCCGGCAACCCCGTGAACCTTGTTTTAGCCCATGGACCTGTTCTATAATAAGGGACCGAGCCTCTCATAACAAATCCCTGTGATGGCACTTGCGGTGTAATCTTAACCAAAAATTCACCAGGCGATGGATCAGTGTAGCTTTTCCAAGAAGTCAGCCCCCGCTTCTCGCCAGTTACAAGATTATACATCATAGTTGACGTAGGGAGCAGAGTATTACCAAGATGCTCAAAGCTTTCCCATAGAGTATTTCCCGAAACGTTATCTATGAAAACAAAATTTCCAGTGTCTGTAAGCTCTGCACGAGACCCTTTAGATGCAAAAATATCTCCAGTAGACCACAAAACGCCATTTTTTCCATTAGACAACAAAAGACTTCCATTGCTGCTGATACCGAGATATGCCGTGGGGTCAGTAACAGGCTTCTCTCTATTAGCCACCCACACAACCACCTGAGGAAAGATATCTTTAAACCAGATTCCAACATACTGATTTTGGGAGTTATTGAAACTGAAGAACCCCAATTCATAAACACCATTAGAGGAGCTGAGAGTTTTTCCAATTGACAGAGGACTCTCTTTCGTTATCCCTGCAAAACTAAAACTTATAAAGATGACAAATAAGAGCAAATAAGCAAAGAACATGATCCTCTTCTTTCCCATGTTTTTGTTTCTCTCCAATAACTATCCTCTTTACGTAAGTTTAAGTAGCCAACATATAACAAAATCAAGAAAGTCAAGAGAATGAAAAATAAAACTCAGTGACTTTGGAAAACTATATTCACAAGCCAATAAACAATAATGACTAAACTCTACCGCACTTATGTTCCAATATTCTACTCTACTAATTTGTCAATGGTTACGTAAGTTAATAACAAACAAAGTCCAACTTTTTACCCATTCAAATACGCAACATTGTTATTTCCATATCCTTATTAGCTTGCTTGTTGGGATGAGTGCCAGTGATAAGATAGGCACCAAATTTGGAACGATGAGAAGTCTGAATGCATCATTGACTGACCACACTGTTCCCATGTTCTTGCTACTTGCTAGCTCTTACTCAGTATCCAGATAACTGCAAATGATAAACATCAACACTCTTGGATCAGATGACAATGATATGATATTAATTAAAAAAAAAAACGTTTTTTTCACCTTTACAATACACTTTATATATCACTGGATTCATCGGAACCAGCTTTCTTGAACTGGAGACTATTATAAATCTGGTTCAGGCATTTCATCGAACACTTGTAATACATATCAAAACATTCAGAGGTCCGACAAAGCCGTTGGATCCTGATGTCCCAATCAACATATATTGCCATTTGCGACTCCAAACATGTGGGTTAAACTGTTTCTGACCAAAATAACCGAAGAATTTAACAGTCAACATTGGTGTGCCTGTGTCACTCAATCACCATAGAGAAGACAACTTCAACGGTCAATTCTACTTCTACAAGACTAGAATCTGATTTCTGAATCGGTCCGTGTTGGGCCGATTTTGTTTAAAAGCCCATAAGGCCCAGAAAAATCTTATCTTCTTCCCCTTACTCTTAACGGCTTCGAATTTTGAATTTAAAACGAAGCGGAGGCGGAAGCAAGAGCGAGAGAGAGCGATTTGACGATGGAGGATTCAGGTGCGATTCTATGTCAGATCTCCATTTTCAAGGACATGCTTGATCAGGTTTTGCTCTACTTCGTCTTCTTCTTCTTCTTTGGTTTCTCGATTTTAGCTTTTTGAGATGTGATCGAATGAAACAGGTCAATCGGGAAATTGAAGCAAACATTCAGGTGACGAGAGAGATCGAATCACAGATCGGAGCGTGTTCTGAGATGGAATCGTCTCTGTCTCTCAAGGAAGCTGAGCTTACTAAATCGTTCCTTGCTTCTCAGTTCGAGATCAGCGGTTTGATCTCCGTTACAGGTTTCTGAATTTTTCCTAATCGATTTAGGGTTTTGTTCAAAATTCTCACATTCGCATGTTAAATTTCCGATCACGATGTTTGTTTCATTCAAAAGCTGATTCAAGAAACTCTCTGAAGCTATTGGAAGATGAGATTTGTCGTTTGAGAAGTGAGCACAGTGAGATCATTACAAGGCTGACAGAGAAGCGGTAAAGCATTGATTTTGATTTTGTCTAATCTTAGATTAAGAAGCATTGATATGTGAATATTTTTAATCCAGGGAAGGGTTTGTGAAGATGTGTATTGGATTCCAGAGTGACATTGAAGACAGTGAATTAAGGAGTTTACTTTCGGAGAGGGAGTTTCTCGAAAACGAAGTTCGGATGTTGGAGGAGAAGAACATGGATGTGAAGAACTCGATTTTGGCTTACATGGAAGATGAAATGAGGAATCTGTTGTCTGATTAGTGTTTTATGGTATGATGAAAATATCAGCCATTGGATTGGAGTGGAATGTTAAGTAGTACGACTAGTCACTTGTTCTTTAACTAAAAGAACAAAATAAAACATTACTAGATTAGATTCTAATGGATTCACAATCGGTTTATTGATTCGGGGTTCAGATGTTGACAACCTCGGGTTAGTTAGTTCGACTTGGAAGTGGCTAATGGTGGTTTTGCTCAGGTTAAGAACGTACAGCTTCTTTGATATCTTCGAGTCTTAATCGTCCAAACCCATTGATGATATCTCTTTTTTGCTTATCACTTCATCTACTTTTTTCTTGTCTATGTCGATTACCGATGTTTCCGTTGATGCAAACGAAGCTAAAGTAACCTTCTTTCACTTGATTGTACTGATCATTAGGAACTTCTATATTTTGTTTGTTCATGCTTCTCTCTTTGTTCTTATGTTTTTATTGTCCTTTACACTTTATGCCCACGAAACAAGGTCGAAATAGAAGACTAAATCCCGCAAGATACGAGAGCTGTTTCGTCAAATGTCAAAACTAATAAGCTCATCACAAGATTATATACCACATGACACATATGCAGCTAGAAAGCAACGAATTAAAGACTTTTGTCCAAACAATAAAACCATCTCTCTTCATTGAAACTCAGCTTCTTATAATATTTATCCTTCTTCATTGCTTTGTTAAGTGTTTGTGGTTCATCTATAATTTTGTAAGATTGAATCCATTGGTTTTATTTGATTGGTCAACCATACTTTTCGACACTTGCTATTATTAATTCATGTTATTGTTCTCAATTAAACTATTTATTAAGGCCACAAGAGTTATATATACTGCACTTTAATCATTAGTACAAACAAAAAAAACAAAAAACAAAAACAAAAAAAAAATGAATCGTTTGATATTATTTACGTTCGTTGTTACGTCGTGTTTTGGATTGAATGCAGCATTTTTTTTCGACATGTTCCCATGTCCGAGTAACGAAGTTATAATTACAAACGATCTTGGTCCCGGTTTGGTTCTCCAATACCATTGTCATTCAAGAGACGACAACTTAGGCGTGCAGCATTTACAATACAATGACACAAAAAGAATAAAATTCGGAGACAAGATAGGCAAAAGGACAAGATGGACTTGTCTTCTGAAACATGGCATTCGTATGCAGTTTTATCGAGAGTTTATAGCATACAGAATGGCCAACGTTCGTCGATGTAATGCGATGCGCCACTGGTACGCCAGAAAAGATGGGATTTACATTAACAGAAATCAAAGACCCCCACCAGTGTTCATTTATCCATGGAACACAACTAAATAATGTTTACGACCACAATGATAAACTTTTTTCATCTTTATATAATTTGCAGCAATATAAATCCCAGTATCTATCTAATACTCCTTCCATTTCACTATATAAGTTTTTTTAAGACTTTTATTTTTGTTCTATTTTATAAGATTTTCACAAATTTCTAAGAAATTATTATATTGATTTGATAATTTTGATTATTTAAATTTCTATTGGTTGATTTTTTTTAATGATATATTACTTACTGTTTCTTAATTTTTGTGATTTTAGACAATAAAAACTCTTATATAATGGAACGGAGAGTAAAGAAGTTCCTAAAATTAATCCAGTTCTCAATTTAGGAACTTACACTGCTGCACACAAGTTCTCACATTAAGTACAAAACACAAAATCAGTTTTGTCAAATCTGGACAATTATAAGTTCTTTAGTAATTAGGAATGCAATGCCAATTCAAACTCTATAGTAAATCACTGGTGTACCAAATTGGAAGCTCATATTTTATAGTAATTTTCTATATTTACTTAATGCAAAAAGAGTAGCTTACAATAAGCATGAACGGTGTGAAGTTATCAACATTCAAAAGTTGATTTCTTTCGTGAACAAATCAAGCATACACATCAATTCTACAGTTTAAATCACATAATTTTTCACCGCCCTATGATCACAGACTGTGTTATCTCATTGATAGTTATCAACCTCCTAGATGGTGATACGTCCTCTCTCGTGTATACTACAAATGTGGGTTGTTTTGGTAGTGGAAGATCTGGGGATGTTGTGGTTAGCATAGACAGTAACTCAAGCGTGTTGGGCCTGTCGGCAGGTTGGTGTTGGACACAGAGCAAACCTATCTGAACACATCTCTCAACTTCTACGGGGTGACATGAATCAGCAAGATCTTGATCCAAAAGACCAACTCCTCCAGTTCCACACCAAGATTCCCACGCCTGTTGTTTAATTTTAGATCTTATGAATCAGCAAGATATTGTAAGCAGTTTTGAGACATTGTCAAGTGTGTGAAAACCTTAAGTCTAACTTACATATGCAATAAGGTTTTTTCCTTCTTCGCCATTGCTGAATCTTGAGATCCTCTCTCCGCTGATGATTTCTAAGAGTAGAACTCCGAAGCTGTAGATGTCGGATTTTTCAGAAAACATCCCAGTCCATGCATACTCAGGAGCCATATATCCTCTGTGAAAACATCAAATACTTTCACACAAGATCAATATAAGATTACAACTATGAATCTTGTTAAGCATGTTTTTGAAAATAGAGTCTTACAGAGTTCCTACAACCCTACGAGTTTTGTCCTGGTATTCGGTTCCCTGATACAACCGAGCCAATCCAAAATCTGATATCTTTGGATTCATCTTCTCGTCCAGAAGAATATTGCTAACCTTCAGATCTCGGTGAATTACCTTGAGTTGTGAATCACGATGGAGATAGTGAATTCCACGCGCAATACCTTGAATGATATCAAATCTCTTTGACCAGTCAATCTCAAGCTTTTTCCTTGAATCTAAGCAACAATACAACGTATAAACAATCAGATAAGACATAAGACAGTTCCTTGTAGAGACAAAGATGCTAATAATAAAGAAACGAGGCAAGAAAGGACTCACCAAAGAGAAAAGTTTCAAGGCTTTTGTTCATCATGAACTCATAAATCAATAGCTTTTCTTCTCCTTCAATGCAACATCCCAAAATCCGAACTAAGTTTCTATGTTGAAGTTTTGAGATGAGTACTATTTCATTCATGAACTCTTCTTTCCCCTGCCCCGAGCTGCTAGAAAGCCGTTTTACAGCAATTTCACTCCCATCTTGCAGCACTCCCTGAAACAGATTGCAGAAGGTCATTTGGAGAGAACAAACAATGAACAGAAAAGAGCATAGAGGTTAAAAGTTATCTGACCTTATAAACTGGGCCAAATCCACCTTGTCCAAGTTTATTTGTGAGACTGAAATTATTTGTAGCAGTTTGAATGGTATTTATCTCAAAGAAATTTAAACCAGGGAAATCTTGTGCTTTCAGATCATTACTCCAGGCATCTTGTGAAACAAGAACCTTTGATCTAAAAGCTGAAACAAGAGTATATGGCATTGCTAATAAGGTCATCTTTGTATTACCATTAGCAAGAAAGTAAATACTGTAAATAAACAACAAGAGATCAATATTGAGATGAAGTCATGAGTATGTTACCATTATGTTTCACTTTGTATCTCCAGAAACCAAACGCAACAGAAGCAATAATCACAAAAAGAGAAAGGCTCACAATACTAGCAGTAATGATCTTGGTACGCTCATTTCCCTCTGAGATTTATAAGACGGAAGACAAATAAACAATAAGCCATGCTGCTACTAAAGAGCATACTGTCATTGAGGTGGAAGATAAAGCTGTAATTGACGGAGTAGATATTCCCTATTATCTTATAAGCCGTACCTAGTTCAGAACGTGCAAGACGAATGGAAAGAATTTCCCCTCCTGGAGATAATTGCATAGTGTCTATTAGGTCTTGGTTCCACATTAAGCACCCTATTCCATTGACATAAGCAAAAGCCAAGCAAGAACAATTGTAGAGGCAACTTTTCTGGCATCCTTCAGCGTCCAAAAAAGTTTCAAATTCATAAAAGTCTGGAATCCGTATGTTGGGAACAGGACTGAAACCGTTTGCATCTTTTACAGTAGAGTTTACTTGACAATGTAGTTCGGTACGTCTCTTACAACCATTAGTCCAATTTCCTCTTTTCCACTCCTCCTTGGATTTTGGTACAAACCCTTTGAAGCATTTACACGTTGGAGGTACTGACGCAACACAAAAACCAAAAGATCCACACACATCGTACCGTTCACATGGACCGTCTGCCTCAAAATCTAATTCCCTGTCAGTCACATTTGGCCGATAAATCTTCAGTAAGCCCTCTGATGTTATCATTATTCGTGAACTTTTGGCTTTTGTTTCTAAAAAACGGAAGGATGTGGACCCATTTGCGTCCTGTTGAAGGCTGAATGGACTTGAATAAGAATCATCCATTAGCGGTATCCCCGTGAATCTTGTTTTAGCCCATGGACCGCTTCTCCAATACGGTTTTGAGCCTCTCATAATATATAGCTGTGATGGTACTTGCGGTGATACCTGAACCATAAATTCGCCAGGGGAGGGATCGTTCTTACTTTTCCAAGAAGTCAACACCCTTTTCTCACCTGTGGAATTATACATCAAGGTTGAGAAAGGCAGCATTGTATCACCAAGATGCTGAAAGCTTTCCCATAGAGGTCTTCCAGAAACATCGTCGATGACAACTAGATTTCCGTTGTCAGTAAGCTCTGCACGAGACCCGTTAGTTGCAGAAACTTCTCCCGTGGACCACACAACGCCATGTTTGCCAGTAAGTAACAGAAGACTTCCATTGCTACTGACATAGAGCTTTGCGGTAGAGTTTGTTACAGGCTTTTCTCTATTTGCCACCCACACAACAACCTGGGGAATAATGCCCTTGAGCCAGATTCCGACATACAGATTCTGAGAGTTAACAGGACTGAAGAACCCCAACTCATAAACTCCATTAGATGAGCTAAGAGTTTGTCCTATTGACAAAGGACTCTCTTTGGTTATCCCTGCATAGCTAAAACTTAAAAAGATGGTAAACAAGAGCGAATAAGCAAAGAACATGATCCTTATTTTCCCCATCTCTGTATGTATTTACAAGAAAGAAATCTCTTCTTGCAATCAATTTGAAGGAAGGAACATGTTAAAATGTAACTTGTTAGACTATTCTCACATACCTATAAACAATGTTGACCAGACTGCACTAATGTTCTCGAAAACTTAGTAATACGAAACAAAATTCAATATTTATGTAATGATCACGTAAAAGTCGAAAGAAACAAACAAGTCTAACTTTTCTTATTAATATTCTGCATCAATACAAAAATCTAAAATTTTCATCAATACAAAAAGAAGAGAGCCAGTCAAAGATAGACATCTATATTCTGCATCAATATAAAAAGATGAGAATTTTCAGCTTGACCTGTGCTTAAATTGTTGTGGTGTTAACGTGTCTTTTCCGGCTCCAGAACCTTTGAAAGATATATACATAAACGTTTATGAACCAGATACTTCTTAATGGTACCAGAAACAGATGTGAATGGTTTCATTATAACGCAAAAAGAAACTGATGATCTTACAGACTCATTTGTTATATGCAAAATCTCACTACTTTATCTGATATTGCAGACGACTTGATCTTACCAGCTTTGAGAACCTATCACCTCGTTCAGGGATCAGTTTGATTGTTGTTATATACAACATGACAGCTAGTAAGCAAGAAAAAAGACTTTTGTCCAAACAATAAAACCATCTCTTCATTAAAACTCAGCTTTCTAACATTCATAACTATGGCCAAGTCTTACTCTAAAACAAAAAATCAATTCAACAATTGTCATTACACATCCATTCTCAACGCCCAAGGATCAGAGACTGTGTTATCTCATTGACAGTGATCAACCTCCTTGATGGTGATTCGTCATCTCTATTGTTCACTACAAATGTGGGTTGTTTTGGTGGTGGAAGATCTGATGTTGTAGTGAGCATAGACAACAACTCAAGTGTGTTGGGTCTGTCTGCAGGTTGGTGTTGGACACAGAGCAAACCTATCCAAACACATCTTTCAACTTCTAACGGGCGACATGAATCAGCAACGTCTTTATCCAGAAGATCAACTCCTCCAGTTCCACACCAAGATTCCCACGCCTATTGTTTAGTTTTCAGATCTTAAGAATATAAGAGCAAGAAACGTTTTGAAACATTTGCAATTGTATGGAAAACCTAAAGTCTTACTTACATATGCAAGAAGGTTTTTTCCTTCTTCTCCATAGCAGAATCTTGAGATCTTCTCTCCGGTGATGATTTCTACCAGAAGAACTCCGAAGCTGTAGATGTCAGACTTCTCAGAGAACATCCCTGTCCATGCATACTCTGGAGCCATATATCCTCTGAGAAAAGATGAGAAAGTTTCATATATGTTTACCAATATTACAATAAATCTTGTTAAGCATGTTTCAAAATAGATTCTTACAGAGTTCCTACAACTCTGCGAGTGTTTTCCTGATATTCTGTTCCCTGATACATCCGAGCCAATCCAAAATCTGATATTTTTGGGTTCATCTTCTCGTCCAGAAGAATATTGCTAACCTTCAGATCTCGGTGAATTACCTTGAGGTGTGAGTCACGATGGAGATAGTGAATTCCACGCGCAATACCTTGAATGATATCAAATCTCTTTGGCCAGTCTATCTCAAGTTTTTTTCTTGAATCTACAGAAGAAACGGTGTAGAAACTTTCAGATAAGACATTTCCATGTAGAGAAAGAGCTGCTTATAGAAAAGAAATGAGGCAATCACCGAAGAGAAAAGTATCAAGGCTTTTGTTCATCATGAACTCATAAATCAATAGGTTTTCTTCTCCTTCAATGCAACATCCCAAAATCCGAACTAAGTTTTTATGTTGAAGTTTTGAGATAAGTACTACTTCATTCATGAACTCCTCTTTGCCCTGACCCGAGCTGCTAGAAAGCCGTTTTACAGCAATTTCTTTCCCATCTTGCAGCATTCCCTGAAATAGATTGCAGAAGGTCATCTGGAGAGCATAAACAAAGAACAGAAAAGACTACAGAGGTTAAAAATTCTGACCTTATATACTGGGCCAAATCCACCTTGTCCGAGTTTATTTGTGAGACTGAAATGATTTGTGGCAGTGTGAATGGTATTTATCTCAAAGAAATTCAAACCAGGGACATCTTGTGCTTTCAAATCATTACTCCATGCATCTTGTGAAACAAGAACCTTTGATATATAAGCTGAAACAAGTGTATCAAGAATGGATAATAAGATCATCAGTCTGTTACCATTAGCAAGAAAATGAATACTGTAAATAAACTACAAGAGATCAATATAGAGATGAAGTCATGAATATGTTACCATTATGTTTCACTCTGTATCTCCAGAAACCAAACGCAGCAGAAGCCATTACGAGAAAAAGAGAAAGGCTCACAATACTAGCAGTAATGATCTTGTTACGCTCATTTCCCTCTGAGATTTATAAGACGGAGGAAAAATTAACAATAAGCCATGCTGCTACTAAAGATAACACTATCACTGAAGTCGAACATAAAGCTGTAATTGACGGAATAGCTATTTCCTGTAATCTTATACGCCGTACCTAGTTCAGAACGTGCAAGACGAATGGAAAGAATTTCCCCTCCTGGAGATAATTGCACAGTGTCTATTAGGTCTTGATTCCACATTAAGCACCCTATTCCATTGATATACGCAAAAGCCAAGCAAGAACAATTGTGGAGGCAACTTTTCTGACATTCTCCAGCGTCCAAAAAATTTGCAAATTCATAAAAGTCTGGAATCTGTATGTTAGGAACAGGACTGAAACCGTTTGCATCTTTTCCAGTAGAGTTTCCTTGGCAATGTAGTTCGGTACGTCTCTTACAACCATTAGTCCAGTTTCCTCTTTTCCACTCCTCGGTGGATTTTGGTACAAATCCTTTGAAGCATTTACACTTTGGAGGTACTGACACAACACAGAAACCAAAAGGTCCACAGAAACCGTACCGTTCACATGGATCGTCTGGAGCCTCAAAATCTAATTCCCAATCATTATCACTCTGCTGATAAATCTTCAGTATGCCCTCTGGTGTTATCATTATTCGTGAAATTTTGGATTTGGTTTCTAAATATGTGAAGGATACAGACCCATTTGCATCCTGCTGAAGGCTGAATGGACTTGTATATGAATTATCCATTAGCGGGATCCCCGTGAATCTTGTTTTAGCCCATGGACCGCTTCTCCAATATGGTTTTGAGCCTTTCATAATAAACACCTGTGCTGGTACTTGCGAAGTAACCTGAACCACAAATTCGCCAGGCGACGGATCGTTCTCACTTTTCCAAGAAGTCAACTCCCGTTTCTCACCTGTGGTGAGATTATACATCAAGGTTGAGAAAGGCAGCATTGTATCACCAAGATGCTGAAAGCTTTCCCATAGAGGTCTTCCAGAAACATCGTCGATGACAACTAGATTTCCGTTGTCAGTAAGCTCTGCACGAGACCCGGTAGTTGCAGAAACTTCTCCCGTGGACCAAACAACGCCATCTTTGCCAGTAAGTAACAGAAGAGTTCCATTGCTGCTGACAGAGAGCTTTGCGGTAGAGTCTGTTACAGGCTTTTCTCTATTTGCCACCCACACAACAACCTGGGGAATAATGCCCTTGAACCAGATTCCGAGATACTGATTCTGAGAGTTATCAGGACTGACGAACCCCAACTCATAAACTCCATTAGAGGAGCTAAGAGTTTGTCCTATTGACAAAGGATTTTCTTTGGTTATCCCTGCATAGCTAAAACTTAAAAAGATGGTAAACAAGAGCAAACAAGCAAAGAACATGATCCTCTTTTTTCCCATTTGTATTTGTATTTACAAGAACTATTTTTCCAATCAATTAGAAGGAAGAAACATGTTAAGAAGTGGCTTATTAGACTATTCTCACGCACCTATACACAATGTTGACCAGAATGCACTGATGTTCTAGAAAACTTAGTAATACAAAACAAATTACAATACTTATGTAATTATCACGCAAAAGTCTAAACTTTTTATTGACAAAAAAAGAAAGAAAGAAAGAAGTGCAGCTTTTCTACCCAATCAACATTTGGCCTCACATAGCAACGCTGACAATTTAATACTTATAGAATTGTCATTTTCATGTTCCATTAGTATAGCTTTGTTTAGGCCAAGAACCAGTCAAAGATAGGCATATATATTCTGCATCAATACAAAAGATGTGAGAATTTTCAACTTGACCTGTGCTTAAAATGTTGTGGTGTTAACGTGTCTTTTCCAGCTCCAGAACCTGCTAAAGATACATAAACGTTCATTAAGATCTTTCTTAAGAACTGTGAATGGTTTCATTATAACGCAAAAGAAACTGATGATCTACACACTCATTTACTATATGCAAAATCCCACTACTTTATCTGATATTGCAGACGACTTGATTTGATCAGCTTTGAGAACCTAACACCTCGTTCAGGCATTTTACCGAACAGATTCAGCGCATGATTCTCTATCAGTCGTTGAGAAAACAGACTCTTTCCTTAAATTCATATTTCTGGATAAAAATTTGATTTGACATAACAGTAATACGATTTGCAAATCACTACTAAACGAAAAAAATATCAAATTCATAACAAAATTTGATCTCACATAGTAACATTGTCAAAATCATGTTTTTGTTAGGTATAAATACTCTGCATCAATTAGAAAGATGAGAATTTTCAGCCTGACTTAAAGAATCAATCACACGTCACTTGACCTTAGATTGTTCTTTCAGTCCAGAACCTGCGAAAGATAAACACTAATCAATCAATCAGATCATATGACAACAAACTTTTAACTTTCTTGAACTGCAGACTAGGTATAATCTCGTTCAGACATTTTACCGAACACCTCCAATGCATACCCAAAACGTTCACTGTTTGCTAATATTGTTGGACCGACCCTAATATCCCCAGTCTAACTCAAACCATACGAAAGTGAGCATAACTAATCCCAAAGGTCACTAACTTAAGGGATAAAAAAATTGTTCTGAAGCATAAATAATTTATACTATGACGTAAGTTTTTTTTGTTAAAAAGAGACGTGAATAATGAATGAATAAAGGAAAAGTTTATCAATTCCACAAAGTTGCATTATTTATTTCTTAACGCCCAAGGATCACAGATTGGGTCATGTCATTGACAGTGATCAAATCTTTAGACAGAGATTCATCATCTCTAGAGTGAACTACAAATGTGGGTTGTTTTGGTGGTCGAAGAACTGATGTTGAGGTGAGCATAGAGAGCAACTCAAGTGTGTTGGGTCTGTCTGAAGGTTGGTGTTGAACACAGAGCAGCCCAATCTGAACACACCTTCCAACTTCAGATGGGTGACATGAATTAGCAATATCTTGGTCCAAAAGATCAACTCCTTTGGATTTACACCAAGATTCCCATGCCTGTTGTTTCGTTTCATATCTTATGAGTATCAGAGCAAGAACTTCTTTGAAAATCCTCTTTAAATGGAATGAAAACCTTAAGAATTAACTTACATATGCAAGAAGTGTTTTTCCTTCTTCACCATAGCTGAACAGTGAGATCTTCTCTCCGCTGATGATTTCTAACAGTAGAACTCCAAAGCTATAGATGTCTGATTTCTCAGAGAATACTCCAGTCCATGCATACTCAGGAGACATATATCCTCTGCTCAAAAAATAACGTAGTATCATATATATTACCCTGTTTGATTTTGACTAACATAACAATGAATCTTGTCAAGCATGTTATTAAAAGATAGGTTCTTACAGAGTTCCTACAACCCTGCGAGTTTTGTCCTGATATTGGGTTCCCTGGTACATCCGAGCCAATCCAAAATCTGATATTTTCGGGTTCATTCCCTCGTCCAGAAGAATGTTGCTGACCTTCAGGTCTCGGTGAATTACCTTGAGCCGTGAGTCACGATGGAGATAGAGAAGCCCACGAGCAATACCTTGAATGATATCAAATCTCTTAGGCCAATCAAGCTCGAGCTTTTTTCTTTTATCTAAGAAACAAAACCGTATAAAACAATTCAGATAAGAAGGTCCACATTGAAAAAAGAAGCTGCTAACTGAAAGAGAAAGAGGCGCAAGAAGTGACCCACCAAAGACAAAAGTATCAAGGCTTTTGTTCAACATAAACTCATAAATCAATAGCTTCTCTTCTCCATCGATGCAACATCCCAAAACCCGGACTAAGTTTCTATGTTGGAGTTTTGAGATGAGTACTATTTCATTCATAAATTCATCCTTGCCCTGTCCAGAGCTGCTACAGAGCCGTTTTACTGCGATTTGTTTACCATCTTGCATATTTCCCTGAAACAATTTGCAAATGTCATCTCAACTGAATAGAAAAATGAGTATAACAAAGACGATTTTAAGGTTTCTGACCTTGTAAACGGAACCAAATCCACCTTGTCCGAGTTTGTTTGATAGACCAAAATTATTGGTGGCATTTTGAATGGTATTTATGTCAAAGAACTCTAAACCTGAGACATCTTGTAGTGTCAGATCATTCCTCCATGCATGCTTCGATATATGAGCTGAAATTTGAGCAAGAACTCATGTGTTAGCGCTTAACATTTTTTGAAACAAACCAAAGCCAAGATACCAAAAAGAAAAACATTAATAAGTGCATCGATTTAGTGTAAGTTTTTGTTGTGGAAAAACTCTGTTTTACTATTTTTAGTTGTCGATCATTTGTAACAGATATATTAGACCCTACAAACGTTTTATTGGCAAGCAAATGAATAAACAAACAATAAAAAAATGATTTGAGAAATAGAAAGGTCATCAGTGTGTACCATTATGTTTCTTCACTCTGTATCTCCAGAAACCAAACGCAGCAGAAGCCAATATCACAAACAGAGACAAGCTCAAAACACTAGCAACAATGGTTTTCTTGGACTTACTTACATCTGATATAAGAAACAAAAATAAATCAAATAATAAACCATACTGCTACCAAAGAGAACACTAACAATGGATTTAAAGATAAAGTAGTAAAATTGAGTAAGTAACTCTTTCGGGTTATCTTAAAACCCGTACCTAGTTCAGAACGTGCAAGACGTATGGAAAGAATTTCACCTCCTGCAGAAAATTTCACTGCATCCATTAAATCTTGGTTCCACATTAAGCACCCTATTCCATGGATATAAGCAAAGGCCAAGCAAGAACAATTGTGCAAGCAACTTTGGTAGCATTCTTCTGAATCCACAGAACTTGCATATTCATAAAAGTCTGGAAGCTTTATGTTAGCAACAGGATGGAAAATGTTTACATCTTTTCCAGTAAAGCTGCCTTGACAATGTAGTTCAGTACGCCTCACACAACCCCCAGTCCAGTTTCCTCTTTCCCACTCCTCAATGGAATGAGGAACAAATCCTTTAAAGCATTGACACTTTAAAGGTACTGACACAACACACAACCCAAACGGTCCACATACACCGTAAATATCGCATGAATTGGCTGGAGCCTTGTAACTCAATTCCCAATCTGTTCCATTATGCCGAAACCTCTTCATGGATCCCTCTGATGTTAAGACTATACGTGAAAGTTTGAAGTTTCTATCAACATAAGTAAAGGATCCTGATCCATTTGCATCCTGATGAAGGCTGAATGGACTTGTATATGTGTCATCCATTAGCGGTATCCCCGTAAACCTTGTTTTAGCCCATGGACCGGTTCTATAGTAAGGTGTCAAGCCTCTCGTAATAAGCAACTGTGATGGGACTTGTGGTGTAATCTGACCTACAAATTCACCAGGCGATGGATTGCTGGAACTTTTCCACGAAGTCAGCACCCGCTTCTCACCGCTGGCGGGATTATACATGAGGGCTGAAAAAGGGAGCATAGTATCACCAAGATGCGCAAAGCTTTCCCATACGGTTCTTCCCGAAACATTGTCTATGACAACTAGATTTCCGTTGTCTCTAAGCTCTGCTTCATAGCCGCTAGATTCAAAAGCTTCTCCAGTTGACCACACAACGCCATGTTTGCCATTAAATAACTTAAGACTTCCATTGTTGTTGATAGCGAGAGTTGCAGTGGAGTCTGTAATAGGCTTTTCTCTATTTGCCACCCACACAACCACTTGCGGAATGATACCCTTGAACCAGATTCCGACATATTGATGTTGCGAGTTATTAGGACTGAAGAACCCCAATTCATAATCACCATTAGAGGAACTGAGAGTTTGGCCTACTGACAGAGGACTTTCTGTCGTTATTCCTGCATTGGTAAAACTTAATAGCATGGTAAACAAGAGCAAACAAGCAAAGAACACGGTCCTCTTCTTCCCCATGTGCCTCCAAGAACTATATATTTCAGAGTAATTTTAAGAAACAAAGTATTATTTAATTAACAAGAAGTAATTCATGAAAACAATATCAGGGAATTGTGTGAGGACTAAGTACCCAAAACAACGCTGACCACAGCACAGTTATGTTGCAAAATTCTCCATTACTTCATCCACAAATAACTTATACCTTATATAATAATAATATGAATTACTTCATCCACAAATAACTTCAGCACAAATACTTATGTTTCCACAGAGAAATCTAACCTTTTAACCGAATCAACCATTCAAGTTGACCCTAGAACCAATGAACGATAGACATCTACACTCTAAGACGAAATTATGGATCAATCAAATTATTCAACTAAGAAGCGAAGTGCGAAAGTAAGCAAGGAAAAGCAAAACTCAGGGACTTGT